ATAGAACAAAAAACGCATAACTAGGTTTTTATGAACCTCTGGACAGCCAGGGAGCAATAGCTAGCATCTAAAATATACTATTACGTAGACTTTCTAGTTTCTACATTTGTTAAATAGGACTACTGTTTTTGAAAGTCTGATCCTCACATATCGCCTGCTGAGATTTACCTAGACTTCATAGGAGGCCAACCAAAAACGATATACTGTAAATTTCTATTTACCGTCTACCATATACGGTTGACGCGGCCGGGCGTAAAATCTATAACGTCGGCCCCATATTTCCGACGTGGCCCTTAAGCAACTTACTACTGTCACTCATATACGTCCGACGTGACAGCCAATGTGTTAAATGAGCATTGGTTTTTTATTTGATGAGATTGACTACGTCAAAATGGATGGTTATTCATCAAGATATTTCTAGTTTTAACAGAACAGAAAAAGTGCATGGTGGTGTTGAAATTTACGTAAGGGGTTACCTTTGTGTCTCACCTTTGTTATCAAGTACATTTAGAGAGGCTGAGGAATTAAAATTTGAGGTAGCAGGCATATGTCTTGATAATGTTCAAATTCTTACAATCAATAGATCTCCGCAAAGCGATTTCAACAGCTTCATTGACAGGTTATCGGACAACACATTGGACAGGCCTCACTATGAGAAGGATTTTATTGCGACTGGTGACTTTAATGTCAGAGTTGGTAGCAATGATTTGCAGGCAGCTCAAGTTATCAATATACAGGGTGTAAATGTTATGGTAGTCATTATTGAAATGGGTAATAGGGGGGGGGTCAAAAAACAAGTCAAAAAGTTCATGTGACCCATGGTCCAAAAGCCAATAGATTTTTGTCTAAATGGCTTTATAGTTTACAACTTTAAGTTCTTTATATCGACCACAATCACCACAATCTTACTAATTTTTAAAATCTAATCTAAAACGGTTTTAAATTGGGTAATTAACAAGTAAATGGCATTTAGTTTTTCTAAGTTAAGCCAAAATTTGTAGTCAGTAAGTAAGTTTCATCAAATTAAATATTTAAAACCCCCCTTGACAACAGCGCGTCGGTCTTTCATCACTCTTATCGACCGGCAACCGATTGCAAACTGTCACAGTGGTTAGTTATCGTTTTGCCTAGCATCGGGCGTGTTGTTTTGTTATTGTTCGCGTTCGTAGTCGTGTTTATTTACAATGTTCTCGAATCAAGAGTTCGCCGACATATTGTTAGTTTACGGTGAAGCTCGTCAGAATTCAAAACTTGCAGCTCAAATTTATCGCGACAGATTTCGCCAATGGGCACACCCAGACAGAATCCTACGGGAAAATTTGCTTTATCCATACCATATACAACGAGTGCAGGCCTTGTTACCAGAAGACTATGCTCCCAGACTAACATTAAGTCAGTGGTTTTTGCACAAAAACATTGAAAATCCGGATTTTCTTAAAAACATTCTAGCGATTCACGAATGTACTTTTACGCGAGGCGGGATATTAAATTTCCATAATACTCATACGTGGGCCCAACAAAATCCTCATACCATTCGTGAAGGTCATTTCTAATAACGTTTTAAAATAAATATTTGGGCGTGTATTCTTGACGATCAGGTAATTGGCCCTTTCGAGTTACCCCCAAAGTTGTCCGGAGAAGGATACCTTAGCTTTCTAGCCAATAACCTACCAGAACTTTTGGAACAGACCCAGACAACATGCCATTAAAACGGAGACAGAATTTGTGGTTTCTTCATGACGGGGCACCACCACACATTTTTAGACGCATCATTCAGTATTTGAATGAACATTATCCAAATCGCTGGATCGGTCGAAATGCTCCTGATCCTCGAAAATGGCCAGCAAGATCTCCTGACCTCAATCCGATGGATTTCTGTTATTGGGGAGAACTTAAAGGGATGGTTTATGGAGCTGGTCCAATAACAACTGAAGCACAACTTCGCGAAAAAATTTTTAATGCGACTGAAATAATAAATGGACAACTTCGAGGACCTAGAGTAAGAAGAAACTGGGTTCGTCGTAATGAAGCTTGTGTGTAAAGTGGAGGACGATATTTTTAACACCTTCTTTAGATACAAAACAGTGCAGTGTGGGTTTAAAAAAGGAAATCAATGTATATATCAAAATTGTGTTCCCTATTTATCTGTATTTTTTAATACGTTCCATGAACTTTCACATACAGGTGAAGCTCTGAGACAGTTAGTGCTAAGTCCGTTTTTTTAATTGTTTGCATTTTACGAGTACATTATCAAATAATGAAATAATATCTAAGAGCCAAAAATAACAAACCCCATCTTTATTTACACTGCGTACCGTCGTAATTTACGTCTGGCATTGCAGCGTTGCCAGATTTTATTTTACTTTAAAGTCGCTTTTCTCTAAAAAAATGCCCCAAGGGGTCTAACCGTATAGACAACATCTTTACCACCATCTATAATAGCAGATTTCATTAACCTAAGATCTTTGATACCGTTTTCTCAGACCATATGGGAGTTGAATTCTCGTATGCCCATCCCAAAAGGCAATGCAATTTTAGACGAGTCACCTACCGACCCATCACGGGAGACGGTCTTTTCTTGGTGTACAACAGTTTGGAAAGTCTCAACTGGCAGTTTGTTATTAATGCTGACGTAAATGCTGAGTTGAAATTTGGGAAATTTATTGACATTGTTACTTAAACAATAGATAAATCTACCTCACAAAACGCGTATCTTCACAGATCTACGGAAGTCTAGCAAGATACAATGGTTTGACAATGATCTTCATTGCATGAGGGACAATCTGAGATTTTTGGTAGAACTGTATAAAAACAATCTCACCATAATAACAAAACCAGAAATAAATCGCTATAAAATAGAGAAGCAATTATTAAGCGCAAGAAAGAAGCAAATGACACGTATGGGAACTCGGCAGGTAACTAACAACAGGCATTATAGAAGCTAATTAAAAACAGTAGCACAATTTGTGTAAGCAATACGAGTTCCACTTTGAATGCAAACGGTTTTGATCTTATTTTTCACCAACGTAGCACAGAACTTAGTAGAAAAGCTTCCTAAACAAAATAGTTCCCCGCTAAATTATATGAGTACTCCAGTTAATATATATGCGTTTGCATTTAGGGAGGTTTCGTATAACGAAGTCAGAGACACGGTCAATTCGATTAAAAACTCTAAGAGCACTGATGTCTATGGCTTTAATAGTAAGGTTATTAAAGCAATACTGAATATCATCGTATACTCTCTTGCAAAGCTTATTAATATTTGTTTAAAATCAAGCATATTCGGTGCGCCTCTAAAAATATCTAAAGTGATACCAATTTGCAAAGAAGGATCGGTTGACGCTTGACGAACTCTCTAATCATCGTCCCATATCAATTATAATTATACCATACTTTGCCAAAACATTCGAGATCATCCTCAAGGATCAATTAAGCAGTCATCTAGAGTCAAACGAACTACTGAAAACTTGTCAGTTTGGTTTCAGGAAACGACAACCGCGATAAATATTTTCACCGAAATAGCTAACGAAGGTTTTGAGAACAAATTATACGTGTGAAGGCTGCCTTCTTCGATTTAACTAAAGCGTTTGATTGTGTGGAGCATGAGATCATACTGTCAAAGCTTCCGTTTTATTCCATGGCTGCATTCAGTGTCCAGCTTCTAAGGCCTCACCTGTCTGTAAGACAGCAATTTGTGGAATACAAAAATTGGGGTTCCTCAAGGATCTGTACTTAGACCATTGTTATTCTTGCTATACATCAATGACATCAAAAATTGTCTCAGTAATGGTACTAGTAGCAAACTATTCCTGTATGCCGATGACACTAGTCTTCTTTCAACTCACAGCACCTAGACAACGAATCAGCATGCAGGGCGGACATCTAAAACTGGTTTATATTATTAACGAGCTGACATTAAATGAAGTTAAAACTCAGACAATGAGTATTCCTGTACGGAATATTGACAGAAATGATAAACACAATAGTAAAGTCTCTCGGGGTGTGCGTTGATTCTTCAATGACTTGGGACGAGCATGTAAATCATACTACACAATATTTGACATAACCTATCTATCTGATAAGGAATTTGATAAATTCTAGCATGCCACAAATGCCTAGAGTTTTTAGCCTACTGTGTTAGATACATGTCAAACTTTGCAGGAATGTATTCATTAAATTAAATATCATGACATTGCCTTGTGTACACACCTATGCTTGCCTCACGTATGTTAAAACTCACTCTCACAATTATGCAACTCATCAAGGCACTATTAGTTACACCTCCAAAAACAAAGAACATGTGTATCCAAATCATCATCGCCTTTCCAAAACTAGAAATGGTTCTAACTACCATGGGTTAAAATTCTACAACCTATTGCCCAATCAAATCTCTAGATATTGAACAATTTGGCAAAACTATTAAATGCTTCCTACTTCCTTAACTGAAATTTTTTCAGCCTGGCATAATTTTTAATGTAAATAGTCTCTTATATAATTTTTTAACCAAGTTTATTTTTATTAACTCTTTATTTAGCTTTTGTTGCTTTGTGTTTTATGTTTGTCTCATTTACGTATCGTTTGTTGTTTTTACTCACTCTTTTATGTTTTATATATTATCTGACGTGTGCAAACACATTTCTGTGTAATAGCACCAATGAATTATTATTAAATAGGACTTTGCATCACGTTATTTTTTGATGACTAAATTCGGAATCGTCATCTCAAATTACCTCCGGGTAATGAGTTTCGTTTGCTTGGAGCAACGGGAGACGAAATTTTGCATTTGCAAACTGTAAAACCTTAAGGCGAATTTTCAAATATTGCTGCGTATCCAAGCGTGAGTACAAAAAGAGAGATCTAGGCACAACGAAGCAGTAGTTCACCTAAGCTCAAGCGAAATCGTCCATAATATGATCAGGACTTTAACTGTTTGGCCCAACCCTTGTGATACGCCTCTGTTCTCAACTAGTATGAAGATGAACACATGAACTATCACTTACCAATCTTCGCTAAACACCTGAATGACGAGTGGTCTCGAACCAGGCTCTGCTGGGCAAACAACTCTGATCAGTTTTGGAGGCTTTCCTGTGTATATCATGATGCGATTGGACGTTGGACATCTCAGCTGCTCTTCAGCCCTAGGTTTCAGGGACAAGAACGCTCCCCAACTCAGTAGGAACAAGCTTCGGTTATATCTGGCTTCTATGAGCCAAGGCATACCTGCAAAGACGAGCAATTTTAAACATGTCAAGAAACAAGAACTCCCGTGGAGCACTTCATGTCTTTATTCCTCCTAACTATATTTATTGACTCCGAGAACCCACTAAGCTAAAAAACATACCTAAACATAAGCTCTCAGTCCTCTCCACAGGTGGGTTGTTAAACTGGACATCTCCACCAAAACCTCGTAGCTTCTGCTTTCTTGGGCAATCCTTCATCTTGACCAACTCGAACAAGGCATGGAAATGTATCATGGTGAAGTCTTCAGTGATGTTCATATCTTTGGCAGTAAAATGGAGCTCTAGAGTTCTGGACGCAGAAACGAACACAATAGATTTGCTGGACAGAGTCGAGTTGTCACAGATGCAGGCTTTAGGCACCAAGGTGTCCTTCCAGGGCCTTTCGAAAATGTTCAACCTTGCAATCCTGCTTCCAGGTTCGTACTCGCATGCCTGCCTTCCAGTATGAGGATCGTTTATAGTGTCACAAGAAGGCATCATACCAAAGGAAGCATTGTTGATTGTGAGCTTCACTCTTTCATCCACTCCTGCTTCAAATCTGTACACGCAATGCAGGTCTTTAGCACCTCCTCTGCCATAAAGAAAAACGTTTCTTGGTGATGTTACTTCACCGACATGTTGCTTTCGGAACACCCTGTTGCAAGGTCCTGGCTCCTCTACTTCTAGGAGTTTCTCTCCACCTAGTCTGGTGTCGACGAATTCGTACTTGAGTTTGAAGGAAGCTGGATGTAGAGCAGTGCCATCTTCAGTGTGATGTTCTATAGTTAAGTATCTGCAAAAAATATTAAAGTAGATAGGTTCACTACCATTCTTTATTATTTGTTAAGAAAGGAAGAAAGGAAGAAAGGAAGAAAGGAAGAAAGGAAGAAAGGAAGAAAGGAAGAAAGGAAGAAAGGAAGAAAGGAAGAAAGGAAGAAAGGAAGAAAGGAAGAAAGGAAGAAAGGAAGAAAGGAAGAAAGGAAGAAAGGAAGAAAGGAAGAAAGGAAGAAAGGAAGAAAGGAAGAAAGGAAGAAAGGAAGAAACGAAGAAAGAGAAGGAAGAAAGGAAGAAGAAAGAAAAAGAAGAAGGAAAGAAAGGAAGAAGGAAAAGGAAGAAGAAGAAAGAAAAGGAAAAAGAAAGAAAGGAAGAAAGGAAGAAAGGAAAGAAAGGAGAAGGAAGAAAGGAAGAAAGGAAGAAAAGGAAGAAAGGAAGAAAGGAAGAAAGAAGAAGGAAGAAGAAAGAAAAAAAGAAAGAAGAAAGGAGGAAAGGAAGAAAGGAAGAAAGAAGAAGGAAGAAAAAGAAACGAAGGAGAAGAAAGGAAGAAAGAAGGAAGAAAGGAAGAAAGGAAGAAGAAAGGAAGAGAAGGAAGAAAGAAGTAAGGAAGAAATGAGGAAAGGAGAGAAAGGGGAAAATGGGGAAAGGGGAAAATGGAAAAATGGAAAAATTGAAAAGGAGAAAAGGGGAAAGGGGAAAACGGAAACTGGGGAAAGGGAGAAATTGGGAGAAGGAAGAAAAAGGGAAATGGGGAAAAGGGGAAAAGAGGAAAATAGGAAAATGTGAAAAGGTGTAAATGGGAAAAGGGCAAAAGGAAAAAGGTTAAAGATGCCCAGGAGGACAGGGTGAAAAGAGAAAATGAGGAAAGGAGGGCAGGATTACAGGAAGCTAGACAAGGGGGACTGATTTGATGGACGCAGCTTGGCATTGTCAACTGGAACTTGGTAGTTTTGAATTGATCTAGAAAACTGATCTTGTTTTTGTTCACTCGGTACTTACCTATCTGTCGACAAATAACTCTCCGACACAATCGAGCAGGGCCTGGTGATCCTAGTAGCATTACTCAAAGCACTATGATCGCACAACTTGGGTGGATCGTCGCACTTATCCTCGATCAATGTAGTACCGTCCCAGATTCTCAGCCTTGTAGAGCAGATGTTGCCTGAAGAACCATTAGTGATCAACGCATGCGCACTTTCACCCACCAGCAAAGCTCGTTCGCTGTAAGAGACGAAGCTGACCCACACCAAGTCTCCTGGGTACCCCCGAAACTTGTAGGTGCAGGTTGTATTAGGTGGTAGAGAGTGCTTAGGACTGATCAGTCTATCCCGGCGTCCTCGACCTGTCCACACTTCGTCGCTATCAGGACTGGTGGCGTTAACGTCGAACTCACACTTGGTGCTGTGCCTGTAACAAAATCCCAGCATTATTACTTTTTTTAGTTTCTCAAGGAAGAAAGAAAAGAAAAATGGAGAGGAAAGAAGGGAAGGAAGGATGAAATAGTTCCCGAGCTAGCTCTCTCAGGTTAATGGGACGAAGACGGTGTTACAACGATATCACTTTATTTTCTAAAATAGAGGCCGATTTACAAGTCACACTATACAATTCGAAATCAAAATAGCAGTCACAATGTTCGTACGTCCGTCGGGTCGAGCGACGATATCCGTCCTCCTTCTGCCGATGCTCATGCCCGTCTCCCTCGCAACTCGTCCTCAGGGTCTTACCACCTGCCCTCCGTCGCACTTTGCACTCGACACGCACTCACACACGGTCGCGCTGTTGCCGAACCTCTTCAAGGAGCAGACAAGAAAAGATGAGAGGAAGAAAAGAAAAGGAGGAAGATGAGGAAGAAAGGAGGAAAGAAAGAGAAGAAAGCAAGTAAAGAAAAGAGGAAGGGAAGAAAGATGAGATATTGCGTTCACTTGAATCTACTTATGCACTTACCTAGAATAATCCAGAGAATCGGAATCAGCAAAAATGACATCTACGTCCAGCTCGAATCCCCTAAGGGGTGAATGTGAAGGTGGAGAGTGCAAGGGGATGCTGAATGGGGAAGAATGGAAGGCTACCAGCATCTCCGGTCCCCTGGACACCACCCTTGGCAGCCAATCGCCTCCGCAGTACTTGGCTAACACTGGATCATTGGTGGAGCCACCATCGTAGAAGATCAAGTGGTCCCGTTCTCCGGTGCAGTCTCTCCAGGCTCTCAGGGCTCGGGCTGTTTTATTGAGACCGGCCACGTTGATAGATCTGGAACAAAAACGGCATCAGGTCTATGAAGATTAAGGTTTTGCTGACTAAAAACGTATGGAAGCTTGGGATATGACAAAGAATTAGGTCAGTGGTTATAGGCCACTGGATTAGGAGTGGACTTGATCGAGTCTTTATTTGTATTTGGTTGATTTTGATGGGCTTACCTTTTCATGTGCATTTTGTGAGCCGCTTCTTGACGTACTGCTATCATAGCGTGCTTACAAGTGGGCACAAACTTTTGCCTCAGGCTCCAGTAACAAGAGACGTTGCGTGGGTACATTCCTGGATAGTTGGGCGACTGCAGACGACATGGCTTTCTGTAGCACTCTTCGAACTGTCTTGTGCAGTACGTCCCTGGAAAAAGGAGTCAGATTGATTAAACGTGTTTATATATAGAATATTTGAATATTCCAAGAATTTTGGGGGGATGAACTTGAAGGATATGAGAAATTTGGAAATTTTTTAGAAGGTTGAAGAATTTTGGGAATCTGGGGAATTTGAGGAATTTGATGATTTGAGGAATTTGAGCAAGCTGAGGAATTTGAGAAATTTGAAGAATTTGAAGAATTTTGGAATTCTGAAAAATTTGAGGAATTTGAGGAATTTGAGGAATTTGAGGAATTTGAAGAATATGAGAAATTTGAAGAATTTGAAGAATTTTGGGGAATCTGATGAATTTGAGTTATTTTAGGATTTGCACTATTACTCACCAGGTGCCACTTGTCCTCTCTCCAGTGGCGCCGCCGGTGACCCGAACCTGACCACGGCCTCTCCTTTGGCCACAAATCGGTACCTTAACTTAAAAGCAAATGGTGGTTGTCTTGCTTCGCCGGGGCCCCCGAAGAGCTTCACGCTCACTGTTACCGTAGCGGTTTCGCTGAAGTATGCAGCTGGGCCCGACGAGCTGCCACACCAACTGCCCCCGGTAAAGGGCCGACCCAATTCGCTCAGCTGCATGTAGCCATCTGGGCAGCCGTCAAGGGCTGACGACTCGTATCTGCCTACTTGGAACTCGTCGAAGATCAACTGGAACAAAATAGATGTTGTGAGATATTTCTTTCAGATCTGGGCAGCCACGGAAAGGTTACAATAAATAATAGTTGCCTGAGAGGTTTGAGTAGTAGTCCCAGAATTTGTAAGAATACTGTATCGTATGAATCGACGGCATCAACCGGTCATATTGTTGAGTCGGCTATTGACGAGAACCGAGATATAGTACCAATAGTTGCTATTCCCTTTTAAAGTGGTCGATTTTGGTAAGAAATGGCATTTATGTTGTCATATTTCTATTTAAATTCTAACTGTTAGAGTGAAATAGATTTTTTTTTGATAAATATGTTATTTTGTATTATTTCTTTCATGTTTTGACAAGTCTATATACGATCCTTTAATATACAAAATGATAAATCAAAATATTGGTTTTTGACGAGACGTGTGAATGCTTAGAAATGTTAAAATTTCTACCCTACTAGCCCTGCTTCTGTTACGCCTTTCCAACTAAATCCTTACCAACATCCATGATGTGACAAGCTCATGGTCGAAATCCCAGCAGACTGCGACACAGACTATGATTTATCTCCGATATTCAAACCAATTTAACGCAGGTTAACGTCGCGCTCGATCATTATTTCCCATTATAGGGAAGTTTCCCAGCAGCAAAGGTATAGGGGACAGTATCGCGTTATTCCGATAAAGTTATGCCCCCTTGATACAGATACGCCACCCGGCGATATTGATGATGTTCTGTTGTTTTCACACTATTTGGCTCTGTTCGTGTTGCTGATCGTGGGCATGCACCAGACCCATGAGCGAGGTTAGTGGTTTTGGGAAAGATGTACCGGTGTTTCCATAATCCTGACAGATTTTGCCTCTCCTCGGATATACACAAACATCTCCATTTTTGAGAATTGGCGTTACGTATGTTGATTCTGCCAGAAAACACTGTTTGGCACAGGTAAGCTCCTCTTAGAAAATAGTCAACTGCAAACATATATGAGCGAATGACTTTATAGTCAGGACCTCTATTCTTGAGTTAGATGGAGTAGAAATTGTGAGAGAAGGTGGCAAAAAGTAAGTGTGGCCAAGAAATGCAGTATTGTTGAAATCAATTCTACCGAAAAGTGATAGAAATGAATTCACTTTAAGGAGTCGCGATTTCTCTTGTTGCTGACCAAGAGAAACCTGAAAAATTAGTGGAAAATAGGGCTATATAACCTGAAAATTGACGTGTTTGGCATTGTTATTGCCGTTCCTGCTAAACATATTGCAAACAATAGTTAATTTCAATCAACTGGTGTATTGCAACGATATTATCGAGGATGTAGGGGAGGCAGTTGAGGAATGGGAGATTGGGAGAGATATTCTTGGGCACTGAGATCCTTTCATAATTTCAGATTGAAAATTCGTACGGATATTTAGTTTGACCAAAGAGTTGTTGGTGTACGAATTGCTGGAGATATTGACTCCAGTCATACAAGCACCCCCACGATCTTCTGCACTTTCGATCAAAACAAAGACAAAAGTAGATATTATGTTTTAGTGATTCTAAAACATTACCCTTTAATCGATGATTGAATTTCACTGGTGCATTTGGGGGTGCTCTCGGAAAAATTCAATAATTTGCTCTTTTGTTCATTTGTGATGTGCTTGACCAAAATATTTGGTTAGTTTTTGACTGTCAAAATTATCTCCATTTTGATTCGTTTAACACGTTTACTTAAACCTGGCAACCCTGTGTCTTGGTTTTCTTTCTCCTTTCTATCGAGACCTTAAAAGAATACAGTATTTTCGAATCGATAGAAAACCGGGGGAGTAGAAAAAGAGAGGGAGTGTGATTTTCTAATAAAGTCAAGAATAGGGGCACAGAATATGAAGCAATGCAAAATATAAGAGGGACACATGGTTGTTACGTAGGAGAAATACAAACAGATCTGAAACCTCCAAAATGCGATATCGAAGAAGACGAAAAAAAAGGAGCTGTACCACTAGGTCGAAAAAATGGCATCAATCTAAATCCATACTTCCCACGCCTTTTAATCAACTTCAGGTAAAATTTTCTATTGACTGCAACATCAAAAAGATGTAGGTTTTGTCAGAGTCAATAATAAAAAGTATTTGTGCTTTTTATGTAAAAAAATCGTTAGATTGCAGCAATGAGCATGTCCATGTCACAGAAGTATTATTTCTTTGGAGCTCTGGTGTAAAATTGCTTGCCAAAACTATTTGAAAACTGATTATGGTAGCTCTTGATATCATATAATATACTATACAATATTACGTTACGAAATCAAATAATCCCATTGAATTAAACTCCAAGCATAACGCTCATATGTTTATACGTCACTTGGATTGAGTACTGAAGATGCCACATTTTGAATTAACCCAGTGGCGCACGGGTTGTGTTACTGATAGGCGATCTGCTTACTGTAAATATTTTTGATTTTAGGTCTTGAGGGCAAATGTACGGCCAAATATATGAGGTGTGAAATATGTCTAATAGGCGTACGGAATTAGCGGGGTTGGATGTGTATCAACATACCAATGTCAAGCTTTTTTTTTTCCTACAATCCATCAACCTATTGATTGTTGTAAAAAAGGTTGGGATCCTCTGAAAAGTCGAAAAACGGCCATTGCACCTATTAAATGTCATGATTTTTCATGATGTACATGTCATATAAAATCCAAGTAAAAGTAGTAAAATCTGAGAAAATAGAACGGAAATGAGTGACATGATTTCTCATGATGTGAATGTCATGTAGCATCCCAAGAACATAAAATCTTATTTTCCAAAAATTTCGTCATTACAATACTTCCTTTCCAGTGGCGTAGCAAATAAAAATTGAGAATTTTGAAAGATTTGAGGTATTTGAAAATTCTGGAAGTCTGGAATCTTGACAGGATCCTCTCACAACAATCTCTCATTTTTCCTCCCAGCATGCCCGATGGGAGCATGAAAGAATATACCATTTGTAGGTTCTGAATGCCTCAAATGTTACTCCTGATCGGTCCCCAGTTACACTAAAAATGCACTGGGGTTTCTTTCTATCTGGTATGCCAACATGTAGATTGAACCTACCAGATTCAGGAGCTTCAGCGTCTTGATTGGACATCAAACAAACAATCTAGGCGGAACGATGAAGTAGTAGTACATGCTGCGGTTCTACTGATCAGTCGCCGTGAGCTGCGTGGGTTCGAATCCCGTCTCAAAATAACTTTTCTCTTGGCTATGGATGTTGTATGTCCGTAGGTAGTAATTGTCTCAGACTATCGAGCGTGGAGGTACCACCCAGCGAATCTCTAAGGCGAAGCCAGAATATGTGCCTGTCACATGCACACATGTTCCCTTGCCGTCCCCCACTTCCCCCCTAGTCCCCTATAGCTACAGGGTACGCCATGGTATTTAGGCCTGGCCCTTTAAGCCAACGTGGTGGCTCAAATATCAGAAACGACATTGAGGAGTAACGACCGGCCCCGAATTCTATAATCCTGACAGATACACTTTTTTTTTCACAACCTCCCATTTTTCCTCGTAGCGTGGTTTATTTTATTTCCCTTCATACCTTTCTATCGTGTTTCACCTGCCTGAAGAGGAGCGTCATCTTGATTGATGCTCCGCGGTTTTATCTACTCCCTCTAGCGGATGTCATATAATTGTCTCATCATTTATCAAGCATAATGGGCCGAAGAGAGGGAACTTCACACGCCGCTAATTCCTGGTGAATTTGTTTATGTTTTATCGTCAGCGTGGAGTCCTCAAACATCAAGCCACCTTGATTAATCGTTCCTTGAAGACTGCCGCTGCTCGGGCAGACGTTGAGACGCCTTACGACCGAGGCGAAAGCCGAGATTTAGAATAATTTTTGGTAATAATCGGCACGGGTATTACGTACCTTGAAAAGTGACATTATGTCGATTATTTTGGCATTATATTGGTTTTTTGTGACATTATGTAGGTTTTTTTACAAGATGTTAACTTAGCACTAGCTGATGGACACTTGTTGTGAACTCGTTTTGTAGTTGTACGTGTTGCCTAAACGTCATGATCCTTCAGTTATCCATCTTTGGCTCTGATGTGATGTAAAATCTGCTTCAGAGATGTCATTATTGTAGGTCTAAGCTGTAAGTTATATAGTATAGCTAGAAGGAAACGGCAGTGTATAGCCCAACTAACAATTATCACTAAAAATTCATACTGAAATGCGCGGAAGTGTATATAAAGTAAGAACGCAAACTGAAGACACAACTATGTCTTAGACCAGTTGTTACCCAACTAACAATTATCACTCCTATTAGAGTTGCAAAAATGATTATACAGTATTCCTTACACAGCATTGTATACTGTAAGAACATTGGCAAAACCCTCTTAGAACAGCTATACAAGCGGAATGGGCACACCTAATAGGACACTTCAGTCATTTAAGAGGTTGTATAAGGGCTGCAGGTAACATTTATACAACAAAAGTGTAAGCCCCTCGCAGCCGCTATAGAACATTTGCGTCAGTGCAAGATTCAGTTTTTGTCAACTATACAACTATTCTGTTACGTGATTCTACTTTATTGCAACCAAACTATTTCTTATGTATTGCATAGACGAAGTGAAGAATATATAACTAACACATTACAGTCATCTTGTTGACCTACATATCGGCCATTGTGAATTTCATACACAGGTATATGATAAACTTCTACACTGTGATATAGGGCTATTGAATTACTTGCGCAGCAAATTTTATTGTGATTATCGTGCAAAGTAGTTACGCAATTTCTACGGGCTTCTTATTTCATGCATATTTTGATAATGATCAAAAGTATGTCTAGATTTTTAAGATGAAAACTGAACTTCTCTGCGTCAAATCTTCCACAAATCTTATATTTAGACACAATTACACTAATGTTTATCACTTTATATCTGTAATTTCGAACTGAAACATAATTAATTAATATTAAATATGGCTGGTGGTTGTGTATAATCACGGCATCGGCCATGTTGTCTTCAGTTTATTAGAATATTTTGGTGTTGCCTGCAGGTGTTATACAAC